AGTCATCCTAAGATATTTCAGTCTAGCACAAAGCTGATTTTCCTCCTGTGTCCTTTGCAGCAAACTCTCGCGGATGATTGGCCCTGCCATGTCCTGCCGGGCAAGGGCTCAGTTGTCTGTTGTAGTCAGGAGTAACCGCCATTCCAGTTGCACTCACCCCCCCGTTCAACATGCTAATTACTTAAGGCGTCAGAGGAGGCCAGCCGGGAAAGCCCCTCATAAAGTCCAGGAATAAGCCTCGCAGGGGGCTCGACTTGCAAGTCAACTGCACAGCTTGACTGCACGGGGAAAAGCGGTTGGGGAAATGGAAAAGGCACAGTAACAGGAAGAGGCCCGGGCACACACAATACACGCTATAAAGTCGACTCGAGATGTGCAGATTATCCTATGTAGGCACTTAACATGACGCAGGCAAGGAGCAGACAACTCCCAGATCTCGGTTGCCTGTTCCAGACGCAAGCCACTGGCCCAAACGGGCCAAGTCAAGTGAGTTGGCATTAGGGCAGCCAAGGAGCCATGGCCGCATGTGGCAGCCCCAGCTGAGCCACGGAGAGAAATACTTAGGTCGGGTTACAAGGGGCCTGAAGGAGACATTTCTGATGCTAGTGAAGTTATTTTTTCAAGTGTGAGGTAATGGCGCTTCCTTTGGCTCTTTTGCGCCACAGGATGGCGGAAGCATAATAAATAAGCAAGTGTGCAAGCGGAAATATTAAGCAGCGGTTGGGGATGCTGCTTGCCACATACAACTGCTCTGCCACAATGAGTAGAAAGAAACTCATTTCGCATGTCACGACTTTGGCCCAAGAAATGCACAAATGCACACGCCGATGTCGATGCTGGTGCTGCTGTATACTGTGGCAGATGCCGCACCAGAGATTGCAACAAAAGTAATAGAGAACCCAAGGGCAGAAGAGGTCTTAACTGGAAAAATAAGAGTAAAGTATAGAAAAACGGATGTGCTCATTGTTGTACTGTCAATGGCCTAAGCCAGAGATACCACTCATAATTCAAAGGCCACATGACGCAATGTCAACATTTTGTTTCCGCCCAAGAAAGCAGAAAAAGAAACAGGACATCTCTCATAGACAAGGTGGACAAATGAATACCCTCTTTAACACGAAAGTGTTAAATTTAAGGTTCTGCCTCCAAGCATGGCAAGTAAGCATATTTCAGAAACAAATCCCTGTTATTATTTCTTTGTGCATAATATTTCTATTGGAAGAACTCTTACCCACTCAGGCATCATGGCTATAGACATGCTAATTTTATTCAAATTATGCGAGCGAGGGTATTCCCCAGTCCTGGAAGCTCCTGCCTTACAAAAGAATACGAATTCCCCGGCATTTGTTGCTGGTACTTTATGCTCCAATTAGTAGCTTCCGACAACGTCTCAGACTTCGGATTTGGACACCGATAAGAGGGCCGGGACCAGGAAAAGGAAAAAGGGCGGGATGCCTTCTTTTGTGAGAACGGAAATCAAATAATATTTTCATACTGATTTATGAATCTATTTGCACAGGCAAACCGGACCACCGGCCCAGCCCATTTGCATGTGATTCATGCTCTGAAAACCATGAATGATTATATTTGCCAGGCTAGGCTCTGAAATCCAAGACTCTCCGGGCACAAATATAAATGACTTTGGTTTAGTCCGGCCTTCTAGCCCGAGAGTTTATAACTAGCATCAGATTATGAGACCGACTTCAAAGTGTACGGCACCAGCAGTGTACCATTTTAAGTCCTTCCATTTAAGCTCCGGCCCCAGCACCCTCACCATCACCATCACCACACCACGAAATCCTTTTTCGGTTTCAATATTTATTTGTGGCCTCAGCTGGCATTTCTCAGGCCATGCAAATTGTTTTCTAGCTCAACATTAAGTTGTCAAGCCCCGGACTGCCAGAGATTTTGACAGAGCTCTCAGAGTTTACTTAAAGATTGCATTCATTGATGCCCGACACTCGAATAACTCACTTAATTCATATTTTAAAGTACTCTTTAAGTGCATTCGCCTGAGAATGTATTTTTCTTTCATTTCGGCTCTGTTTAATTGGCCTAATATGGCTAATTGATTAGCATACATGTGATAAATGGAAGCAAACATTTAATAATTCTATGTGTGTGTCGCATTTAAAAGTTAAATAACATAAAAGTTTATTCAATTGAATAAATATTCAACAAAAGTACTATAAATTCGAATTTGATGCATTCATAAATATTGAATAAATTGACGTTTCTATAACTCCTCAGCCAGCGTTGAAAAAACTATTAAGTTGGCAAACATTTGCAAAAATATATATAAATTCCCTGTCCTATGAAATGTCACCAACACGTTTATTTAAGTGCGGAATCTGAATCACACTCCTTGAATAAAAAGTGCAAAATGAACCGGATGAGGGAAGGGTAAAGGTCAGCAGTGAAAAGTGAAATGTTAAACCAAAAGAGAGTGTGTCAAGAAACGGAGAGGGAGTGAATGAAATACAACTGCATTCCACTCACTAACTGTCGCCATTTGTTATTGCTTTTTAGCTGTCTGTGTTCCAAAGAAAGTTCAGTGTCTAAAAAAACCAGGGAATTGAGTGGCAAGCGGAGACATGGTAGCATACACTGACAAAATAATTGGCCGTACTACTACTCATGCTTTAACTACAGAAAGATTCAAAGTTTTTCAGCGTCTAGGATACTGCATCATGTTAAAACATTTAAAGGGCTTAATGATTTTTTTCTATGTGTATATGCTCCACGCACATTGCATTCGCTTGAAAAGAAAAGCAAGAACTTCAACACGTGTCGAGACTTAGGAGCAAACCTTTTACTCTTCGGTCCGGTGTCCATGGCTGCCATGGAAACTCCCTCAATTGTTGTCCGGTTCATATTTGCTTCAGGATCCTGCATCCCTCGACTGTCCTGCATAAATAATCGCATTTATAGGAACTTTATTTCAGTTTTCAGTTTTGTATGCTGCACAGAAATCAGATACAAAGTATCTAATGGAAACTTTCAGGAAGCATCAGTCAATTCATGTAAAAGAGCTTGTCTATGCAAAGATTTTAATTTTGAAATGAAATCTTCTGAGATTGGGTCTCATAAATGATATAGGTATTTCATTTTCCAGGACAATAAACATTTGCCAAAGGTAATTGAATTTAAATTTTTCGGCAAATATGTTTAAATTTTTCTTAGCATGCCTATGCTAGAGTTCCAGCTTATGAAGATATATGTGCCACGAATTCTTTATCATTTAGAATGCGATTTGGCCTGGGTCAGGCCAGGACAATAAATACTAATAGCCAAAATGGCCAGAAACATATAAACCATAGCCGGGAAAAGTAATTCTCACTAGAAGGGCGAGTAATAATCAACATCAAATTGCCTCGTTTCGAGTTTCAGTTCCAATTTGGGGTTTTTTTCTGGGTCTGAGTTTCCCTTTCATTTTCATTTTCAGTTTCAGTCGGTTTGGGTTTCATTTTCGGTTCCAGAGCAAAGACTCACTCAAGTTCATTTATTTTTATTGTTTTCGGAGCTTTCGGCGACAATTTATGGGCCAGCGGAATACAAAGATATTTATGAAGGTCGGTTTGTACGTATGAAAAGACAAAACTTATGTATATGGCCAGTCAGAACTTTATTTTATTTATTTTTTATATTTTTCTCATATTTTTTGGTTTTGTTTTTTGGAATGAAAAATTTCCGCGGCGAGAATTGAAAGTGGTTGAAAAAAAAGTAAAAGAATATCTACGTAGTACGTATTCAATGGGAACGAAGAACGAGTAATTTACTTTCGTTTCTTTTTCTCGGCTAAGCATCCCGGCATTCTATCTTATTTTGCACTAAATTTTAACAGGATTTAGCCCCGTCGCTCTCTGCTGTCAACTGCTAACAAGCGGAGAAGACGTCGGGGGTTTTGACCAGTCGACCACGGCAAGCCAAGCCCGAATGGTCCGCCTTGCCACCACGTCCATGGCGAATGAGTTTTGTCGCAAATCCGCTTACGTCCACACCGCCGCAACGAAAATTGTGATGGCGCATCTGATGGAGATGCCGTCGGACGACAATGACGATGATGATGACGATGATAATAACGATTGTGGGCTCGAGCCATCGGTCCGCCACCCCCAACAGCCCCCCAATGTAGTCATTTTAACTGGCACATAAATAAATTCCATAAATCTTTTGCACTTTAACGCTTCTGCTTTAAGCCAAGTCAAGTCTCAAGTTGGAACCGATGTGAGCTTGTGTGGCATTGAGGGAAATAGGAGGCTTAACTAGGGCAGACCTATGGCTGTCGTTTATTTCTTGAACCGATTTAAATTGGCAGAACTATGGCCATCGGAAGGAAAAAAATTCGAAAAATTAAAAAACGATATTAAAGCTTTGTTTTGTATAAGGAAAGTTTCTTCTGGGTTCGCTGATTACAAAATGGAACAATATTTCCCGATCAGATACAATTTGGCAGAGCTATGGCCATCAGAACGAGCAAAAGTGGGGACTTTGGGAAAACCCACATTTTCGTAGGGGTACCCCTAGGAAAAAATTAAAAAAATTAAAAAAAGATATTAAAGCTATGTTTTGTATAAGGAAAGTTGCTTCTGGGTTCGTTGATTGCAAAATGGTACGATATTTCCCGATCAGATAAAATTTGGCAGAGCTATGGCCATCGCAAGGATCAAAAGTGGGGACTTTTTCCTATCCGATCGGATACAAATTGGGAGTGGGTGTGGAAAAATTTTGACACAAAGTGGAACTGCTTGGATATTGTTGGAGTCTCTATACCAAATCCTATAGACCTTTCTCTTATAGTCCCTGAGATCCACGCGTTCATACGGATGGACGCACATGGCTATATCGAATCGGTTGTTGGCGCTGATAAAAAAGTTGTATACCTTATGGAGTCGCAGATTATTCCCCCTCTATGTTACCCTTTTACCCTTTACGAGCACCTGGTAAAATCGATAAGATTTTATTTTTTTTTATTATATTAATTAAGAGGTAGGCTTTGAGTTTATTTGAAAAGTAAATTTCATACACAATTTTTCACATTCTTATGCTCGAAAAATTCAAGTTTATTTTATAACTTGCACTATATATTCGTCGACGTTTCATATAAATTTTAAGGTGCTATTAAAAAATCTATACAGTGTATTTATTGAAATATCATGTCGAGAATCAAGAGGGATTTTACTAGCCATGACGTGGATACTGTTATACACGAGCTCACAAATCTTGTCGGATCTGATTGTAACCTCGAAGAGTCACTAATAGCGGCTCTCGTCTACAAAGCTCGCGAGGTAATCATGAGCCAGCCGATGCTCCTGGAACTAAATGCCCCTCTGAAGATATGCGGGGACATCCATGGCCAATTCAAGGATCTGTTGAGAATTTTCAACGCATCTGGCTTCCCGCCGGAATCAAACTATCTGTTTTTAGGGGACTACGTGGATCGAGGAAAGCAGTCCCTGGAGACGATCTGCCTGTTATTGGCTTACAAGATAAAATATCCCGAGAACTTTTTCCTCCTGCGGGGAAATCACGAGTGTGCTAGTATAAACCGGATCTATGGATTTTTCGACGAGGTGAAAAGGAAGCACACGATCCACTTGTGGCAGACCTTCACGGACTGCTTTGATTGTCTGCCTGTTGCAGCAGTTGTGGGCGATCGAATATTTTGCTGTCACGGGGGACTCAGTCCCAGGCTACGCAGCTTGGATCAGATCCTCGCCATTCGGAGACCCACAAATATCCCGAACCAGGGCCTCCTCTGTGATCTGCTTTGGGCGGATCTTAACCGCAAGGATGACGGCTGGGGTCACAATGAGCGCGGTGTGAGCTTTACTTTCAGCAAGCAGATTGTCCAGAACTTCCTCGACGCCAATCGTCTAGACGTAATGGTCCGTGCCCACGAGGTTGTGGAGGATGGCTACGAGTTCTTCGCCGACCGTCGCCTGGTGACCTTATTTTCCGCCCCCAACTACTGCGGGGTAATGAATAACGCCGGTGGAGTGATGAGCATCAGCGAGGATCTAGTGTGTAGCTTTATTATAATCGAGCCGCAATTAAGATGTTTCGGAAAAGCTTCCACCAATGAGGATTCATTTGTAGAGACTGTGTCTACCTGAAATTTTCTATTTTCATAAATCAATCTTTAATTCTTTGACACTAACTTCTTTAAATTTCTTACCATCAAGACCATGTTCAATGCATCCGAATCTGGCCCTCTGGGATTGTCATCTGAGACAGACAGGCAGACAGGTGACTTCAACACGCCACGCTCTGCCATTTCATTTGCAGCTCGTTGGTGTCCTGCTCAGTCGAATGAATTTTACATGGAGCTTCGCTTGCCAGCCTTCCTCAGACTCGGGCTGAGATTCTGATTCCGATGCTGATACGGATACTGATGCTGACGCTGATTTGCTTCAAATGAGCGACTGAGGAGGAGGCATTCTACGGCTTAACCTTCCAGAATCACTAACCCTTGTGTGGGCCAACATTTATTTGATCTGGCATTCATTTGGCTAGCTGAGCAAAAGTCAAATATATGTATTATGTGTTTGGCTTTGTGTGTGTATATGGGACTTGGACTTGGACTTAGTCTATCCAGTGTTGCATACGAAAGTATCTCCGTCTGGCTACTGCACGCTCGAATAATTTAATACATCCCCTTCCATATCCCATATCCCAGCCAGGGTCCATGGCATTTGGAATGCACACAGCGTGCCATTTGACTGCAATTTAATGCTCTCCTCGAACAGTTTTGCTCGTACTGTTCCAGCTGCAGCGACAGTTCCAGCTTCAGTACCAGTTCCTGCTGCCATTTCATGTTTTTGCAAAATGACAAATCACATTTATTTATTTTGTGTATCTGCCATGTGCCCGTGTAAGCCAGCTAAGCTGTAATGTGCTGCCAGTCGGGATCTGTGCCGTGACATTTTGATTCAGCCGAGCACTGTTTCGGGGTAATCTGAAGGGTTAATGTGCAAAAGCAATCGTAAATGCTAAAAATACACTCGTTTTTGGCGCTTTCTTTTGGTTTATTACCTCTTTCTATTTATTTATTAGTTAATCTTAAGCTCTATTTTTAAATCATTAAAATATGTGTGCTTTGAATCATTTTTAAAGACATTTACTTATTTAATTTTATCTGAACTCTCATTAAATCAAAAAGATAAAACCCTAACCACTTCTATCTAGGTCAACCCCATAGAAAGATAAGTAGAAGACGGCATTGGCATTGCTACTTCTGAGGTCGGGCTGGTACTTTAATTAGTAAACAACTTCTGGATTGCAGATGCCGTGGGGTAGATGACAAATGACGGCTGAGATAGCGAAAGAAATGGCAAGCCTTGGGGGTGGTGACACCCTTTAATGACGGATTGAAGGGATGGGTGAGAGTGGTGTTGGGCTGAATTCATCGCAAAGTTTAATTAAGAAAATGCCCACTAATGACAACTAATGGCCGTGGACTACGTCGATCGCATCACCTCAGAAATCCGCAGAAATATTAGTTGTAAACATGGAAAGGACACTGAGCCATGATCAATTTTCATTTGCAACGCCTCCTTCTCTTCTACCCGAAAAAAAAAATCTAAAAAAAGACTAAACCGTGCCAAAACAGGAAAAAAGCCAAGAAGCAACGCTCGCACAGCTCGACTCAATCAAGTTAATGGCGGCCAAATGGGTTTTTGATGCGCTGGCCGCGCTGCTCCATAAAAAATGATTGCCAGGCCTCCTGGCCACCGTTACTCTTGCGTTTTGGCCCGGCCGAAAAGTTGGCTTAATGAAAACGCGTGGACATTGCCGTTTAATGTGTGGGCCCCTGTGCGTGAGTGTGTGTTTGTGTGTAAAACGCCGCCAAAACCTTCTTAGCCAGACAGATAGCCCACGCCCACTTTCCACCTTTCCAAGCCACCACCATCGCCACCACCCACTTTCCACCATCTGTCGAAATGGGCGTGCCAAGTTTCTTATTGACAATTTGAGCATTTGAGCGTTAAATTCTTATGAGGCATAAGTTGCCCCGCACCGAGTCATAGTTAATAACGGCACTTCATAAGACCACAGCACGACACGAGGTGTGTCCACGTGGATAAGGATGAGACTAAGCGTAAGGATATGGATGCGGATGTGAATGAGGACGTGGATCTGCTTGGCGAATAGTGATGGTTATGGCCAACGCTCTTCCTCTTTCCGCGTTTTGGCCATTTCTTGGATTTTTGCGGAGCTTGTTTTCGTCTTTGCTTATTTTTCCACTTTTATTTTTCGCGTGTGTAGTCAGTTAGTTATTTTACCCTCTCTCGGGGCTTCATAAAATAGACTATCAATTATCCAAACACATTTCTTAAATTATTAAAATTTTTTTTAGAAAAAACTGTGAAATATGTAAATTTATAATTATTTTATTTTTTTGTTTTTAGTGTATAAAGTGTATAGTACTGATAAAAGTGTATAGAAATTCGACTCGTGCCTCTTAACTTTTGCCAAATATTCGCGTTTTTCGTTTTACCTTGAGAAACTCTAATCAAATTAATGGAAAAACTGAACGCTTATGTGTGCTTTTTCCTGCCAAAAATATTTCCCAAACTCCTTTCGCCCCTTGGCCAAACTTGTGCAAGCCCTCGAAATTCTAATAAACTCTCTATTTCCGGTATTGAAATTGCTCGTCCCAGTCCCCGAGGCAAGCACTTTCAGAATTCCGATTTAGCGGCTTTTTAGCATTTCAATAAAAATTACTTTGTTTTCCTTTTTGGGCGAGACTTGGGAGGGCGAATTCCCTAGGCTCAGCTTTTGGCCTTAACCGCAAGCAAAGAGAGATTTTAATTAATTGCATAATCACTCAAATAAAACCGCACCCGTAGCCCCTGTTGGGAAACTTGTAAATGAAACGCAAAGAAACAATCAAAATTCCAAAAGTCACCAAAGCTCTCAGCCAACCATCCCAGCCCTCCTCCCAACCCAGCCTTTTGGCCAGTGTCGCGGCAATTGTACAAGTGTTTTTAATATTTAATTGCTTTTTAAATGAGTCCAAGTATTTTATTGTATTTCATTTGATGATGTAAACGCTACTAACAGCACGTCCAGCAGTGGGTGGGGAAAATGGCAACCACAGAAGCAGAAGCTGAAGCAGAGGAGTTTCCTCCGCTTGGGTCGCAACTTTGCAAATTATTCAAAGTGAAAAGGGAGGAAAATGAGATGGGCGGAGGTGGAGGTGGCAACAACGAGGCATTGCCTCGAGCCACAACAGCGACAAGTAATGGTCCAAGTGGCAATTTATCAATTAAAATTCTGCTTAACTACAAGGATGCCCAGGAAACGAACTCAAACTCGCAGCCAAAAAAAAATAAAATGGAAGTAAGGGAAGAGTAGAAGTCACAACAAGCCATGCTGGAGGGGACTTCTCTTATTCTCTAGTTCCTGTCCAGTTAGTATGATACTCCAGTTACCCAGTTCCCTTCGGTGGAAGTCCAACCCTCTTCAATGCAACACGGCCACTTTCAGTGTCATTTGGCGCGTTTTTATTCCCTTGGCAACGAACCATTCCATCTGCCAACAAGTGGAGTGCTAATTAAAGACCCATAGTCCAGGATACTGTAAATAAATCTTTGAACTGAATTAGATATAAATTGCAATTCTCTGTAGTGGGTGGTGTGCGTTGTAAGGGGGAGATGGCAAATCCCCGCCAAGAAAAGGCGCTTAATTAAATCGAAACGGACGACAAACTGCAGGGGATTACGCATTTTTCAATTTAATTCGATTCAAGCAGCGTCCTCTGATTCAAGTAGTCTATTGGAAATACAACGAAAAGCCCAAGATAATGGCATTAGTTTACAGGAAAATGTTTTTAAACATTGTGTTGCCAATAAAACAGGAATAGCCGTTGTCCATTAGACATTTAACATTGGGTACTTTCACTTGGTAATTAGGAAAGGTACTTTTTACTTAGTTACCCTTCAAAATGCATATATTCCGGCCACAAAATGAGTGAAAAGCAACTCCCTTGGGGCAACATTAAAGTTTTCCCTTTAAGCTTGTGCATGTAATTAACACTTTAGAACAAAGTTTCGACTGCTGCTTCTGCTCCAATATTTGAGTTTTCATTCTGCTAGTTTTTGGCTGGTCAAATTTTGTATTTAAAGGTTGGCTTACCACTTTTTTAGCCCCGGCCGCAGATTGTCGCCAGTAAGCCCTTCGGGGTGGAGTCCCTGCAAAAATATGGAAATTTTATTGCTCGCTTATGTTTGAGTTAATTTGGCAAAAATTTTGTTGAATTTTAATGAGTGTGGAGCCAGCAAGGAACATAAGTCCCACGTCCATGGGAGTGGAGTTTGATGGTTTTCGTCGAATGATTTAAGCCGTTGACAGAGCGACAGATTGCTGACGAGCGAGGATGCCAAATCCTCAACTGAAGACAGTGGAAAATACCCCCACCTATCCACCCATCCATCCATCCATCCATCCATCCCTTTGTTGCAACAAGACGAGTTTCTAATTAAGCCAAGAGAGCCCTGACAGGCCCCGTCAATTGGAGGCCGCAAAATTATGCGAAATCTCCGAGATATTTACAAATTACCAAAATCAACAGCCGACATCGCAGACATGGCCGTCAAGCGAGTGAACGGCGAAGGCACATAAATCTAAAATGGAAATCTTTAATGGACTCACATTTTTGGTAGACTCCTCTCTGGCTGCATGTTGATTCTTGTGCTAATTGTTGTGTCCAAAATTCAATTAATTTAAATGCCGCACAGCACAATATGCGACTCATTTAGTCCTAGCCCTTGGAGCAGAGGGCCAGGCGGGGCGGCCGTCTTAATGTCTGATGAATTAATTAAAAACGCCTCATTTGCCGAAGCAATCAAGCGAAAGCAAAGAGACTCAATCTGGTTCCTGGGTCAGGGCGTTCAAAGTTCAAATTATGCGCCACTTTTGGCATTTTCATAATTTTGCTTATGAAACGTGACTTTTGCCGGGCGGCGTCATTCTCGGTTCTCATTCCCATTCCGGCTTCTGTCAGCTTTTGTTTCGTCAGTTGGCTTGTTTTGGCTTCGGCCGGGGTTATTTTTTTTTGTTTTTCCGGAAGGTTTGGCTTGGGGGTTTTGGGGTAGCGAATTTTAATTTTAAACTGATTTTTTTCTTCCGACCGGCCCTGGCCACGCATTG